CCCTGTGGCTCTCCAGCAGAGGGGAGCACCTTGCTCAACAGCCCTGAGCCGAAGGACCCAGTAATAAAGCTGAAAATCTGGCAAGTCCCCCAGTCTCCCTGGGGCGCTGAAGAGAGATTTAGTTACACTTGTACTAATAAATACTTAAGATCCCTCTTGCAATCTCACAATATCTTGTCAAACTATTTTGGAGCACCTCTTTGGGGAAACTAAATGACTGGAATAAAACAGGACTATTGTCAAATAGATGTTGTATGAATAATAAGGTTAAGGAGGCGTCGTTACAAAATTGTACATTGAATCGACCCGGTAAAGATGCATAGTGTGCATAGATTTAAAACTAATATAGACGATAACTGTCTTTTTCAAAGCAGCCCAGAAACCTTACGTTTGTTTTTGTTTTGTATAGCACAATCGCCATACAATCCGTCCGTTCTCATGCTCTGACTTTCAGGTTAGGCAGTGGAATGGATTCCAGGGCAAACTCGTTCTTGTTGGAGGATCCTTGTGACTCCTCGCCCAATATAACAGGTAAACTCATGCACTGAAATTATGCGCTTCCAAATTGAAGCGACACGCATTTGAATAATTCAAAATACACACGAGGGAACGTCTCCAAACCATGTCTAAATATCACAACATGAAAGCTGTGCGTACCTTATCTTTATTTGCCTGTACAATGTACCCCGGTGATCTTTAATGTACTCTTGTGTGCATCGTATAAGATTTTTATTATTGGAATATAAAGAAAAGAAAAAAACACAATGAGGTCGAATTGATCAGCAGCGTGAGCCGACTCGCCGGTAAACACACTCTCCAGCGGTGTCTGGAGTTCACGAATAACTCTCTGCCCTGAAGGACAGGTTTGCAGGAGCCCGCAGTGCTTGACGAGCAGAGAGCGGAACCACACCGAGCTCAGCGACAGACCGGTACTTGTATTTGTATTGTATTCCTTGTTCTTGTTAATGCTTACTTTAAAAGAAATCAAAAGTCACGCGTGCCTGGAATTCCGGCGGGTGGTGACACTTCCGAGAAATGTCCACAGGGCAGCAAAAGAGATACACGAGTCTATGGAGGTGAGTCTTAAAGCGCTTATTAATCTGAAATCTGATTACACAAACCTTTATTTTATCACACTTTTAACGTCATCATGTTCTCAGTCTTTCGTTGCTCTGTTAATTAATTCGATGTAGATTTTGTTTTGTTACTGCAGTGTCTCTAATGTGCACGTCCCCGTAACCGGTGTATTTGATTCTTTGTAATCGTACTTAAAAAAAGAAACGGGCCGCAGGTGTTTCAGGACTCGGAGCCCCTTCCTGGGCTCTATGGACGGGTCATGTGTCGCTCACAGCATTGCAGTCACCGTGTCGTGACGTGTTACAGCACCTTACTGTGCACCGGAGACCCGTTAAAGGGAGAAGGCGACCCTCTAAGGTGAAATTGATCCTTATTAATAACAGATGCTGCAGGTGTCGATTCTTAGTGACACCAGTCAGACCGACTGGGCTGGCGGAAAAGCGTGACGTCACCCCTGACTTTTTTCTTGTTTTTTTTTTTTAAATAAGTTTTTATTTAAACACCAGAAATACAAAAAAGGAGACAGAATAATGAAATATACATGTACGTGTGCAGCGCAAGGGGCAGCCAGGGCTGTCGGCAGTTTCTGCAGATCTGCTCTCAGCCAGAGAGGAGGGAGACGCAGTCGCTCTCCTGTGTCGGCTGGAGGAAGCGGAGCTGTGGAGAGAGGGAACGGAGCCCTTCAGGAGACGCTCCTGGGAGAGGAGAGACGCTGCGCTGGAAACCCACTGCCTGCCAAACTGCAGATCCGCGCCTCTCCAGCACCTGTCCGGGAGGAAGCCGAGCACACAGCTGAACACCCCCCTCCGGGAGAGGGCAGTGAAGGACAGAGGCGAGGGAAAACAGACAGGGATGCTAAACGCAGTTCTAGGACTCCGAAAAGCCATTCGTGTGGAGGAAGGAAAGTTCGCGGAGCCTCTTCAGGTGTCGAGGAAAAGAGGGACAGACTGCTGCAGATCTAGCAGTGCGAACACGGCTGTACTGAGAGCGACGGACGGAGTTCATGCTGTTGCAGCGCTGGGTTCCGCTTCATTCCAATGCGTGTGATTCATGTGCAGCTAACTGAATGTACAGTGTCATCCCCCCCAGAAGAGTGATGCTGAGATGGCGGGTATTGCTTATTTTCAGTCCTGTGCAATTAGTGTAATTCTTTTAAGAAAGGTGTGAGTGTTGTTACAATAATACTGCTGTGTGTTCCTCTCTAGAGTCTCTAGGATGAGGCAGTGTGGGTGTTGTTACAG